CCAACCTACAAGGTCAGAGAGGGCCAAGTGGTCTGTAGATTCCCCCAGTGCCCTATAATGAATGGGTCCCTTTTCGAGAAAAAAGAAAGAGAATATTGTGGCTGATGACTAATGTCTATAAAAGCACAATGTTCTCAAAAAGATAAGGAGGTATAAGTGACGTGGCAGCCCTGCAAAGAGATACCCCGAAGAAAAAATTGGGTAGAAAAGGACAAGATGAGAAAAGGTAGAGACAAAAGCATGAGCTCACAATAAAAAGCTCAGGAGAGCTGGAGACGCTCTTGATCATGAAAAGGAGGAGCCAGATGATGGAGCTAGAAGACAGTAGGGTTCTGTTGTCTGCAGAAGGGGAAGTAGACAGCCTTGCCTTCCCGGCCCCAGGTGTTTAAATCAAGGGGGATGAGAGGGAGAGTGTGTGTAGAGCAATGACAAAGTCAGCTGGCCTCTGTCCCACACTGTCTACCACAGAACCCGCAGCTGTGCCTGTGGATGAATCAATGAGTCACCAAGGAAAAGTGAACTTAGAGTTGGCATCCTCAGCTTAGAAGAAAGTGTGAGAGAGTTGGAAAGATTTTCAAACAAAAAATACTCAAGTGAAAAGATTCTAAAGACAAGATGATAGACAGTGTTGGTCAGATTAGAGATACAATTCCTCTTTGTCCCAGCATTCCCCCTTATGGGAATTTCTCCCACAGATTTCCGTGGGCATGTGTGCAATGATGTACCTATGAGGTCATCCACTTGTAATTGCAAAAGTTTGAAAGTCACAAGATTGTTCATCAAATAGAGGACTTGTTCAGTAAATGAGGGCACAGCCCTGCAGTGCAATACGGTACATGTGTAAACTAGAACCAAGAAATGAGAAAGCTTTCTGTGTATTGACAAGGAGACATCCATTGCTTAGTAAAAAAAAAGAAAGCTCAAAATTACAGTATGCTACTTTTGGGGTAGAAGTTCAAATGGAAACATTTCAAAATGTGTTTCTGCTTGTATTTTCATAAAAGGTGGGTATCTTCAAGGAGAGGAGTTGAATAAATGTGGATAGAGAAAAATACAAAGGCTTTTGCACAGAACCCCTTTTTATATTGTTTTGACTTTTTGAATCGTGAATATCACTGATTTGAACATTTTAAATAGGAACCAATGGCTCAAAGAGTGTGGTGAGTGGCAGCAGTTGAGTACCCACTATCTAGACATTTTCTTGCCACCCCAGTGCGGTGAGTCGGGAAAACAGGAGTGCACTGTGTTTGCATATGGTTGGAATCTCCCTCAGCATTTTCCAAGCATTGAATTTTGGAGGTCACTCCCACCCCAGCCCCAATATCAGTTGGGCATCCTGCTTCCCTTCCTGGTAGAAGATGAGTCTGCTAGGGTGACCCAGGCAAATCAGCAGCTTTTCTGGGGCTGAGGATGTGGCTGTTTCTTGTGCAACCGGCTGGACACAGAGGCATGACTCTCTGGCCTTGAGAATGCGGGGCACTCAGAGTCAGACCAAGACTATGTGTGTGGGGAGACGGCTGGGCTCACCGACTGCCAGAATCAAGGGTGGGAGAGAACGGGATACCACTTATCTCCCTCACACTCCTCCTTCCTCATTCCAGACCCAAACACCAGACCAGTATGTCTCCAACTGAGTAAAAAATGGGAACATGGGATAATGCCACATGTGAGGAATGTGTGGAATCCCACACACAGCACAACACTGATGTACTTAATTTGGTTTATAAATACAATTTCTGTGGAATCCTCTTGTGTGTTAAAAAAAAAAAAAGACCCACTTGATTAGAAATTAGGGAAAATGGATTCCCATCTGGAATCTGTTGCCATCTGGAAGTAGAATCTCTTGCAGGTCATTGAACTTCTCTTTGCCTTCCTCATCTGAAACATGTGATAATTTTTAAAAATATTTTTATTTTTATTTTAGAGAGGAAGGGAGATGGGGGGAGAGATAGAAACATCAGTGATGATAGAGAATCATTGATCGGCTGCCTCCTACACACCCCCTGCTGGGGATCTGAGACCGAAACCTGGGCATGTGCCCTTGACTGGGATCGAACACGGGACCCTTCAGTCCCCAGGCTGACGCTCTATCCACTGAGTCAAACCAGCTAGGGCGAAACATGTGATAATTAATTGCCTGACCAAGCACATAGAGGTTAAGAACACAAGAGGCTTGAAAAAGTACAAACATAACTTTGAAGTTAACTGAAGGCATGCTTATTACCTACATGGCTTACATTTTCTTCTCTTTCAACCTGAAAAGGTTCTCAGCAAGTACACTTCGGTTTACTCTGAAAGAAGTTAGGTTGGCTTTTCTGGCATATGGGGGTGGGGTGAGGGGAATTTAATTTCACAATAGGATCTTGCTTTGTGTTTGTCCAAGACCCATTTCTCAACCCTTTCTTCTGAGAAACAACTTTCACCCACCATCAGTTGAGTAGTTTGGGTGGGTGTTGACTCCTTCCTGCTCCAGAGGTGGACATGCGACCCAGTTCTGACTAATCTGAGCATCCTGCCTTCCAGGGCTACTGGATGGGCATGTGACCAAGCCAGCCAATTGCAGACAACGAGTTTCAACTCATTAGCTATTGTTGGAACTACTGAGAAGTCCTCCGTTCCCACTGGACAGGGTGTAGGCCTGGGGTTTCCAGAAGCCATCTCACTCTGACCAGAGGAAAGCCTGCCTGAGAATGATGCCACCAGAGAGGAAAGCAGAGCTGACAGGAGAGAATAAAGAGAGTCCTGGAAAGATTGAGGGGATCTCTTTGTAAATTATACCATTATCTAACTACTGTATTGTACATCTGAAACTAATATAAAGTAACAATGAATGTGAACTGTAATTAAAATCTATATATATGAAAAGCCAGCGACAGTAACGCCATAAGGACCAGAACGACCGGCCGCTATGATGCCCACTGTGGCCAGCGAACCGGCCTGATCAGGGGGCGGGGCCGGCCAGCCAACCTCCCACGGCCCCTCCCCCAGGCCAGCCCGTCCCTGATCAGACTCTCCCACCCTGATCAAGGGCAGACCAGCTGGCCAAACACCCACCCCCATTTCCTTCCC